GTGGGCGCTAACGAGTCACGTGACTTGTTGCCCCCGGGCGGTGGGCGATAACGAGTCCTGTGACTTGTTGCCCCCGGGCACTGGGCGATAACGAGTCACGTGACTTGTTGCCCCCGGGCGGTGGGCGAGAACGAGTCATGTGACTTGTTGCCCCCAGGTGGTGGGTGATAACGAGTCACGTGACTTGTTGCCCCCGGGTGGTGGGCAATAACGAGTCACGTGACTTGTTGCCCCCGGGCGGTGGGCGAGAACGAGTCATGTGACTCGTTGCCCCCGGGTGGTGGGTGATAACGAGTCACGTGACTTGTTGCCCCCGGGTGGTGGGCAATAACGAGTCACGTGACGTCAGCGTTTTATGTCGGGTGAATCACCTGCTCCCAAGACGCACGGGCAATCATGTAACGGGTTTCTTTGCTTGTCTGTTAGCAAAATATCTTACGGATTGGAGTGAAACTCTCAGGAAGTGTCAGTGGATGAACTCGTTACCGTCTGGAGTCGACCTGATTCAAGATGGCCGCCGCAACTTTCCACATTAACCAACAAAAACCATCTCGGTCGTGGTGGTAGCTGAGAGTCATCCGTCACATTCTTGTGCTGAATCGTTGCATCGAGCGGGCGATAAGTCGAACAGTTCGGAGTCGACCGCAGAACTCGGTGCTGAAAAGTTACGAGTATTCACGGATCAAAGAAAGTTGGAGCCGTTTGACCGGATATTAAAAATGAACGATCTAATCTGAGATTAAAGAGAAAAACTGGACTCATCAGCAAACATCGTCACGACGAAGCTTTAAAACGGGTCGTTTCAGCAAAGTGTTCTACGGCTGTTTCAGTTTCTACTCATAAAACAAATAAAATCTAAATTTATTTTGACTGCAGGAAATAAAAAGTTACTCGTTTTGTCTTCAGACGCAGAATCCAGAACATCCGAGTCACAATTTGCAAATTTTAATATAATCTATGAGATTTTAATCTAATAAACGACAGATCTTCGTGATGGAGATCGTTTTATTTTGATCTTTTGGTCAAAATTTGAACTTTAGGAGCTCGAAGTGGCCACGCAATAAAAACATTTAAAGATTAAACCCTGAAAAATCACTCAACACTTAGTCCTAATCTCAGAGCTCAGATTACAGTGCGGGTTGTCAGATTTTATCTCTGATTTAAGAAAAAATGCAGGTTTCGTTTTTTTATTTACAGTTCAGAATCAAAAACTAACAAAGTCCAATTTACACTTGATCTTTTATTTCCATAAAATCTGACTGAAATTAGGATTAAAGAAAGAAAGGTTGTTTTTTTTTTAGTTAAATTAAAATTGAACTTTTCTCTCCTGGTTTGATCAGTTTATGCAGATTGTTTCCTTCTGCTCTGAGAATAATCTAAAGTTTGGAGGATTATGTCTCTGAGATTAAAAGAAGTCTTAGCAGCCGCACTAATCTGTCAGATTAAGAGTCAAATAAAAAAATTCTACAAAAAACATGAAGTTGCTGTTAGTGATGGTCAAACTGTTTACAGAAAACATTTGAACCTCTTTTAAAAACAGAAACGACAAGGTGAATAACATCAGCTAAAAGGTGAATAGCATCAGCTAAAAGGTGAATAACATCAGCTAAAAAGTCTGAATAAACTTCAAACCAAAGGAAATTACAGATTACATCAGATTAAAACTCACAGTTTGCAGGATTGTGTTTCAGATGCTCTGATGATGAAGCTCAATCAAACTGAGTCAAAAGGAAACGAGTGTTTCTGAAGCCTTCGGCTGATTCTTCCTCTTTACCTCAGCGTGAGCCGAAGCTTCCCCTCAGATGTTTCCACCTGTCAGACAGAAGTTTCTGCTTCAGACTCGATGACGACCTCAGATCATCGAACAGACTCCACTTGTTTTTATTTTCCTCCAAATGTTCAGAAATATTAAAAACGATCTGATATCAGTGTTCATGCTCAATAATCCAATAATCCAGGTTTAAAAAAATAAAGTCAGGTCCTCTGGATGGATTCTGTCTTTTCTTATAAGACTGAGTTTGTTGTGGCTCCTCGGACTGAAGAAGTACTTTGGATAAAAGAGGAAATGTTTCTATAAGAAGAATCTGTCCACAGGACCTGACTTTACTTTGTTGGAAATAAAATCTGGATATACTCAGCTGAATAGCTGTGTGACGTCCTGCAGACAGTGAATGCATCACACAGTGAATGCATCACACAGTGAATGCATCATAATGCATAAGACAAGTGAATGCATCATGCAGCGAATGCATAAGACAAGTGAATGCATCATGCTGCAAATGCATGACAAGTGAATGCATCATGCAGCGAATGCATAAGACAAGTGAATGCATCATGCTGCAAATGCATGACAAGTGAATGCATCATGCTGCAAATGCATGACAAGTGAATGCATCATGCAGCGAATGCATAAGACAAGTGAATGCATCATAATGCATAAGACAAGTGAATGCATCATGCTGCAAATGCATGACAAGTGAATGCATCATGCAGCGAATGCATAAGACAAGTGAATGCATCATGCAGTGAATCATCATACAGTTAATGTGTCATACAACACATCATAAAGTGAATGCATCATGCAGCAAGTACATAAGACAAGTAAATGCACCACAGTGAACGCACAATGCAGTGAACACATTATACAGTGAATGCATCATAAAGAGAATGCATCATAATGCATAAGACAAGTGAATGCATCATGCAGTAAATCATCATATAGTGAACACGTCATAAAGTGAATGCATCATGCAACGAATGCATAAGACAAGTGAACGCATCATATACGTGAAATGTATTCACTGGTTAACTGGTCACCATTAACTTCACGTAGACTCTCTCACTGGTACATTCTCATCTTTAAGTCACTTATTGGTCTGTAGCCAAAAGAAAGGTCACACTAGTATTTGGTTGGACCTCCTTTATCTTTGATCACATCATGTATTCTCATTGTTTCTATAAACTTCTACAACGTCACAAGATCTGTTTCATCCAGTGTTGCTTTAATGTTCCACCAACATCTTCCATTGATGACGAGACACTGGTCATGATGGTGCATCACTTCTCCTGCCTCTCTTCTGACCCTGATGCACCATCACTCTGGAACAGGTCTGGACTCATCAGACCACATGACCTTCTTCCATTGCTCCACAGTCCGATCTTTATGCTCTCCAGTAAACTGAAGCCTTTTTCCCAGTTAGCCTCACTGGTTAGTGGTTTTCTTAAGGCTCCACAGCTGTTCAGTCCCAGTCCCTTGAGTTCCTTCACATCGTGTGTGTGGAAATGTTCTTACTGTCTCTATGAACCACAGCCCTGAGTGCTGCTGGTGTTCTTCTTCCATTTGACTTCACCAAATGTTTAAATGATCACGATCGTTCAGGATTTATTTCCGGCCACATTTCTTCCTGGAAGACGATGGGTCCCCACTGTCCTTCCAGTTTTAATAATGCGTTGGACGGTTCTTAACCCAGTTTTAGTTTCTACAATCTCCTGAGATGTTTCCTCTGCTTGACGCCGATGATTCGACTCTTCTCCAACAGACGGACGTCTTCTCCACGACCACCATGAGTCTTTCATCATGTTGTTGGAGAAACGAGAAGCAGCTCATTGCAGCAGTTGGAGTTAAAGAACGTGTTGCAGCTGAAGGATGATCGTCCAACAGGCTCGGACCCGTTTCATCAGTCACACCCAGGTGGAGACTTTATTTTGGCGAGTCAGTGGATCACACGAGTTCCAGGTAAATTTTAATTTGTTTCACTTATTTTCAGAGACTTTTACTTTATAAAGCTACAGTGTTGGCTTTTACTTTGACATGCTGTACCGACTTTTAGAAAGGAAACTTTTATTTTGAAATGCCACGTGTTTTAGATTTTTATTTAGTAATTCTTTATTTAATTAATTTAGGAGATTATTTATTTATTTTGTTTTTGTCAGGGTTTATTTCATGGCCGTTATTCTTTAATATTTGATCTAAAAACTTTTTATTCATTTAGTTTGGACTCAATGGGCTTCCGTACAGAACCTGAGTCCGTCTGTGACGAAGATGACCGAAGAATTGACTCCTCTTCCTCAATTTCCTTCAACAGGAAATACAAACTACATGTAAACAACAACAAATCCTCGTCCACAAAAACAAAAGTGTTTATTTGTTTGTTAAATCTGTACAGCCTTAAATATTCAGATCTGAAGAAGTGCATGATGGGAGTTTCAGGACACGTCCTCCATGTAGTCGGCGCCGTGGCTCTGACTGAGCTGAGAGACGCTCACGTCCTGCGTGGTTTCATCGAACTGCACAACAAACAAACAAACAAACAAACAAAGAGGGTTTGTTTAGCGTGAACAGGTTGGACTGAGCTGAGATCAGCTGATCCGGCGTCACCTTGTCGCTGTTCTCAGGACCCTCGATGGAAACGTCCTCGATCTCCTCGCCGATACTCAGCTCGCCGATAGACAGGTCCGACCGGTGACTGCAACAAACAAACAAACAGATTAAAAGAAAACAAACACGAGTCAAACTCTAAATATCTGCAGTCAAACTGAAATCCTGCTCTTTTTACGGTTAAAATAAACCTGATTCAAGATGGCCGCCATAGCTAGGCACAACCAGCAACAACGGCTGTAATCAGCTAAACTTTGGTGTGGTAGTAGCTGACAGTGATCCCGACAGGACGTCACTACTGGAATCAACTCTGTTAGCAAAATATCCTGAACCAGACGACGGACTTGGATCTCTGAAACGGATCTTTGGAGGTTCTTCTAGAACCCGTTCAGAGCCAAGATGGCCGCCGCAGCTCGTTGGTCTCACCAGCTCGGGCGCACGACTCACCTGTTGAAGTCGTCGTCGTACTCGACGTTGTCGTCTGCAAACAAAAACAAAACAATAAACAATAAACAACAAATAAATAAAGGCTGAAGATCTGAGAGCGGACTCCGACCTAAGTGTGGAGATCCAGTTCTGGCGCTCGGAGCCGCCGGGCCTCGCTCTCTGGAGTTCCACGCTCCTGCAGAACACAAACAGAACCCGTCGGACCCTTCAGAACCCAGACTGACGGAAAAGTCCAGAACGTCTCGTTCTGCGGACACGGGAGGAACAAGATGGAACAAGATGGAGCGTTTTCTGACGACCGTTGTTTGGATTTATTAACCCTCCTGCTGCCCTTGGGTCAAGACGACCCCCGAGGCCTAAAGAACATTTAGAGAACATCAGGAAACGTTCTCCAAATGTTCTCGTGTTTGAACGTCAGGAAACTTTTGTCACGATGTGATGAGGAACGTTTAGGGAACGTTACATGAACATTGTTTGAAGGTTACGAGTTCTGAGACCTTTAGAACATCGTCTAAAATGACCCTGCGTAACCTTCAGGGAACCTTCAGAACCTTCAGAGAACCTTCAGAGAACCT